TTTCCTATGTCACACAAGCTTTTACCTATTTCAGGGTTTTGGGGTTGTTTTTTTTTAAAGATTTATTTATTTATTTATTTTTAGAGAGGGGAAGGGAAGGAGAGGAGAGAAACATCAATGTGTGGTTGCCTCTTGTGCGCCCCCCACCTGGGACCTGGCCTGCAACCAAGGTGTATTTGCAGCCTCCCTGGGCTGAGCAGGTCCACTGGAGACTCAGGTAGATGGAAGAAGATGCATGGAGCCATGGGGATGCTTGACATGCCTTTTTTTAAAAGAGTTACACAGGCCACAACCCTGTGTCTATGTCAGCGCCTGACTCCCTCCCTTGTTCAAAGCTCCTAGCCCTTAAGTATTGTCCAAACTAAGCAGGATGCAGGCCAGAAAGTGAAGTAGCCTAGCATGAGCTGCGCCTGCAAGGCTACTCAAGGCTCAGGGGCAGTTTATTGCAAAGGGCTCAAGGCTGAGAGACCCAGGCTCAAGGCTGTGGGAACACTGCTTTATCAGACTCCTTCATGGTTTTGAGAAGTTCCTCCCTCCAGTTACCCATGTGTGTGAGTGAGGAAGCCAAACTGCCTCCACTTACCCTACACCGGGCATGCCAGCCGACTAAGAATTGAACTGGCATCACCTTGGTTTGAAGGCTGGCACCCAATCCGCTGAGCCACACCAGCCAGGGCAGGGTTTTCTTTTAAATATCTATTTTATTGATTATGCTATTACAATTGTCCCATTTTTTTTACCTCCCCTTTGCTCTCCTCCTCCCTGCACCCCCCCTCACCCCCCGTCCCACCAGCATTCCCTCGCCTTCATTCATGTCCATGGGTTGTACATATAAGTTCTTTGGCTTCTCCATTTCCTATACTATTTTTAACCTCCCCTTGTCTATTTTGTACCTACTATTTATGCTCCTTATTCCCTGTACCTTTTCCCCCATTCACCCCCTCCCCCTCCCCTCTGATCTCTATTTCTGTGATTCTGTTCCTGTTCTAGTTGTTTGCTTAGTTTGTTTTTGTTTTTAGGTTCAATTGTTACTTGTTTGTTATCATTTTACTGTTAATTGTTTCTGATATTCACCTTTTTCTTAGATAAGTCTCTTTAACATTGCATATAATAAGGGCTTGGGGATGATGAATTCCTTTAACTTGACCTTATCTGGAAAGCACTTTATCTGCTCTTCCATTCTAAATGATAGCTTTGCTGGATACAGTAATCTTGGACTTGTCTTTGTCCAAGACTAAATGATAGTCTTATGGGAACTCCTTTGTAGTTAACTGTCTCCTTTTCTCTTGCTGCTTTTAAGATTCTCTCCTCTTTAATCTTGGATAATATAATTATGATATTGCCTTGGTGTGTGCTTCCTTGGGCCCAACTTCTTTGGGACTCTCTGAGATTCCTGGATCTGCTGGAAGTCTATTTCCTTTGCCAGACTGGGGAAGTTTTCCTAAATTATTTTTTCAGTAAGTTTTCAATTTCTTGCTCTTCCTCTTCTTGTCTGGCACTCCTATGATTTGGATGTTGGATCACATAAAGTTGTCCCAGAGGTTCGTAAACCCCATTTTTTTGAATTCTTGTTTCTTCATTCTGTTCTGGCTGAATGTTTCTCTCTTCCTTCTGCTCCCAATCATTGATTTGAGTCTTGGTTTCCTTCCCTTCATTGTTGGTTCCCTATAAATTTTTCATTTCACTTTGCACAGCCTTCACATCTTCCTCCATTTTGCAACCATACTCAACCAATTCTGTGAGCATCCTGATTACCAGTGTTTTGAACTGTGCATCTGATAGGTTGGCTGTGTTCATCGCTTAGTTCTATTTTGGGGGGTTTGATCTGTTCTTTCATTTGGGCCATATTTCTTTGTCTCAGCACGCCTATTATGTTGGAAGGAGTGGAGCCTTAGGTATTTGTGGGGTGGGACAACCCAGGTTGCTGAGTTGTGGTGCTGTCTGTGGGGAAGGGTTTCAAGAAGGAACAATGCCACTTGCTCGGCTCCCCACCAGCTTTCAGTCACTTCCCAACTACCCACAAGCAAATTTGGCCCTTCTATTGCTGATTCCCTGGTGGTTGGGTTACTGGACGTTCTAGGTCCCTGTGGGTCTCTCCAATGAACTCTCCTGTGAGGCTGGGAGTTTCTCCCCCAACCGCAACCCCCACAGATTTTTATAGCCAGAGGTTTCGAGGCTTTCTTTTCCTGTACTGGAACCCAGGGTTGCTGGGTCTGTCTTGCTCCCTAGCTGTTCCTCCCATGCAAATGTGGGACCGCCCAGATGGCCAGCGCCCACCCCGCCCACCTGGTCCTCCAGCCACCGCCTTGCAGCGCGTCTTCTCAGCCCCAGCTGCCCATCTCCACCCCTCCTACCAGTCTGGATGAATGTTTCTTCTTTAGCTCCTTGGTTTTTGGACTTCTATAGTTCAATTTTTCTGGCAGTCTGGTTAGTTTTTGTTTTTAGATTTGTTGTTGTCCTTCTTTTGGTTGTGCAAGGAGGCAAAGTGTATCTACCTGCGCCTCCATCTTGGCCAGAAGTCTCCTATTTCAGGGTTTTTGTATGCTATTCTCTTTCCCTGGGCTATTCTTCCCCTACAACTCTTTGCATGGTTGTTTCCTTTTTATCCTTCATGTGTCAGCTTAAAGTTTAGCATATCAAAAAATATTTTTCCTCCTGGCCGGTGTGGCTTAGTGGATTGAGAGCTGGCCTACAAACCAAAGGGTGGCCAGTTCAATTCTCAGCCAGGGCACATGCCTGGGTTGCAGGCAAGTTCTCCAGTAGGGGGTGTTCAAGAGGCAACCACACATTGATGTTTCTCTTCCTCTTTCTCCCTCCCTCCCCTCTCTAAAAATAAACAAAATAAGAAAATTTTTTTCTTGATCATTCTAAACTAGCCGTCTGATCTTTACATCCCACAATTATTCTCTATCATGTAATGTTTACATCTTCAATAAGCTTTTCCACAAACTTCAATCATTTTATTGATTGGTTTTACATTCACTGACATGTTCAAATTTATTGACATGTTAGAGTTTCATTTGAATAGGATAATACAGTGTTGAAATACAGAATCATAGCTAGTAGACTAGGCTGTAGATTCAGATTGGCTGGATTTAAATCTTAGATCTCTTATTGTGTGAACTTGGACACGTTACTTCATCTCCCTAGGACTCAATTATCCCATCTGTATTAAAAGAATTTTAAATAGTACCTATCTAATAGTATTGTTGTAGAGAGTAAGGCATCAAAAGTGTTAGAATGTACTGGGACATAGAGGACCTAAGCCACCACCTGTGCTGGAACAATGAAAGTATGCATCATGGTCTAAATACCTGATCACAAGATTCCCTATTATCAGAAGCAACTGAGACAGAGCTGCCTGGCATCTTGCTGGAAACTGGTTGAATCCTCACTGCCCCCACCCTCTTCGAGCTTTTGCCAGAGGCAAGGCCCATATATCTCCCACTTTTTGTCACAGAACCAGCCACCCCTGATCAGAGGACACTGTCTTGCAAACACCTACACCCAGGGCACCTGGGGCAGATCAGCAGGGTAATCCACCCTCCCCAGGGGTCTGCTACACACTCTTAAAAACCCTTCGACTCTTTCCCTTTCTGCTGTAGTCTGCTTGTACTCAGCCTGCCTGATCACAATGTCCCACCTTAAATAAAAGCCCTTAATTGGACCTTTTTGGCTCCCGGTCCTTTCTTAGCCATCCTGGCTACCTAACAAAAAGTGCTTCAAACAAGACATAGACCATAGTAAGTCCTCAGGAAATATACATAACATCATTTGTCATTGATTTCTAGTGCCTAAAATAGTGTCTGATATTCAAAAAATGGATATGAGGGACACCCTGGCTGGGTTGTTCAGTTGGTTGGAGCCTCACCCTGTACACCAAAAGGTTGAGGGTTTGATCCTCAGTCTGGGGTGTATGGGAGGCAACTGATCAATGTTTTTCTCTCTCTCAAATCAAAGCACATGTCCTTGGGTGAGGATTAAAAAAAAACAACAAAGAATGCATGCAGGGAACTGTGTAAAGTGTACAGTTGCTATACAAATGTCACATATCATTGGCTCAACTCTGTAAGGCAATGCGTCACTCATATAATACAGGTTTTATTATTTTCCACTCTTCCTGGCTCAAACAGGGAACAAAACATTTCTGTGAAACAAACCAAATGACCCTCTTTCTAAATTGCTTTTTCCATGGACTATCTGTGTCTCATTTCTCCTTACTAAAACATAAGGTCTCCAAAAACAGGGATCAACCCTTCCTTCTTCCCATCAGTAAACATCACTGAGCAACTATTATGGTGCCACACCTTGTGTTCCTTACAGGGGGTCAAGGCATGGCTCTACGCTTGAGAGAACCAACTGGGGGAACATAGGTAAACATGCAGCCACCGTAAAGTGTGGTACATACTCTATTAGAAAAATACCTGATCTTAGATGTTATTGGGCATCCAAATCAGATTGTAAGCTAGCAGACCTCCTAAGGTAAGCCCCCAAAATGTTGATATAAGTGGCACACATGGGTGCTGAATAAAAAGATGTTGAGTACACTGGGGGAGAATGGGATAAGATATTATTATATATTCCTACTAACCTTACAGGCACCTCCATACAGGCAACAACTGAGAGCTTAGCAGCGGTACCTCACTTCATCCCTAGACCAGATCACTGCCTCATTCTATAAATCAGAGGGCTGTAACAACTGAAAAACAGGAAGAGTAATAGTGGAAATCAAAACAGAAATAGTCAGTCTTTAAATGGAAGATAACCTGGCAAGATCCACTTGGGTTACCAATCTGAAATAAAGCAGATATACATACAGTTACTATTTGAAATATTCTTCAATTCTGACTGCTTATGTTAACATTTATACTTTAATAATGTAAATAATTAAAAGTGTTGAAATATGAATACAATGTACTTTTAATATCCTATGTATTCTATAAAAGACAAAGAACACAAATGTATTTTAAAAATATTTTGTCCTTTTTATTGATAACTGAGATACTTATTTTTATACATTTAAATTATCTTGAGATTTGATAACAATATTTAGCTACAGTGTAATCCAGAAATTAAAATATACAAAATAGTTTTAGGATAGAGACAGACTCATAGAGAGAGAGCAGCTGTCGGGGTGGAGGGCCTGGGGTGATTACAGGGCGGGGGGCGGGAGTGGAGGAGGGTATGGGGGAAAAATGCTGATGGACAGAGACTTGGCTTGGGACAGTGAACACACAATAGTGTACAGATTATGTGTTGTAGAACTGTGCACCTGAAACCTGTATAATGTTTTTAACCAGTGTCACCCCAATAAATTCAATAAAAAGGAAAAAAAAATTAAAATTAAATAACAGTTTTAGGAACACAGGTATTCCTAAACTTACACACTCATAAATCACACAAAGATACATATTTATTTGAAAATAAAGACTTTGAAAATGAAACCAGTTCATCTAATTTTTACCAAGGTGAGACAAGACATCTTTTATGCAAAAATAAAAATTGAAGCAGGAACACCACTTTCAACTTACTTTTATAATGTCTTAAATACACATCAATTCTACAAATCGCTATTTCTGAGGACAAAACTATAACTGTTTCCCTCCCATTTCTGTCATGCTTATAATAAAACATAAAAAGTACTCTAAACACAATAAATGGAATTCTTACATTTTAAACCATTTTAATATAAAGGACAGAAATTCAAATCATTTTTACACTGCTACTTAAGTTTATATTGCACTAAAATTATTTTACATGGAAGAACTAGTTGATGTACGTATCATGACAATACTTCAAAAACAGTCTTTGACATTCACATCTATATTAATGGATATTTCATGGTCCACTTAAATAAATTTTCTAGTTTACACCAAATCATTTAACAAAACAAATCTATAATGCTAAACTGTTTTTAGAGCAGATAGTCAGTATTTACTATTGCTGCCTTTGGAAAATACACTGACTTTTAAAAATATTTAAATCAGTCATAATACCTGGTAATAACATTTGACCAATACCTGAAAATTCTTCATTTATTGTTGAGTGTCTATGTGACTACTTTTCAATACAATTTTTTAAATGAAGAGAAAAAGAGTTTGTCCCTTTATCCAATGGAGCAGTTTTAAGAAGACAAATAGTAATATTCCAATGCTGGCTTCTAAGCTATGGTTTATGTAACTTAAAGGTCAGTTCTTATCATTCTGCTGCTAAGCCTGTTTATTATAACCAATAGTAGAGTCTTTGCAAATCATGATTACAATTAAAAGTTTGGAACAGCATTATAAGCTAATGGCAACCTTTTGAATCCCATTTTAAGTTAGTTCTACTTCCAAATAACACTTTTAAATCATTTCAAATAACCTAACTGATTAGCCAGCATCAGTTTAGGCATTTTTTTTTCAGTGTTTAATGGTATAGCTTTTGGCATCAAAGGTGTAGCAAGCATTCTTGATTTGTGATGAATAAAAAACATCAAGTACTAAATACCAGTGGTTCCTGTGACAGGGTAAATGTCCCCCTTCAAGTAATGTTCTCCTCAAAATTAAAGTAACATTTTATTTCTCCTTCTGAGAGTTTGTTAAGGGAAGGAAATCATAATATTTTTTTCAGTTGAGGTGAAAAAACTGCTTCATAAGTTCATATGTGGTAAAAGCCACTGCTTGAGAGGGAATGCAGCGAATGTAGTTCAGAGATAAACCACGATATAATCCTTTTCGAATTCCATGGTGTCCATAGACGTACTTCATCGTCTCCCGCATGGTACTGAAAGACAATGGTTAAATGATGACAACTTTAGGCCCACTCACGAAGAGACAATTTTAGATCCATAAAACCATTTTTAAAAGAAGCTAAAATGCTATCTTAAATAGTTTTTGGAAGGCAAGTGCTAAAACAAGCTAAAAACTCACAATAAAGCAGCAGCGATTTCTAAACTAGTACAAATAACACTATTTCATAATAACATCTGAAATATTGTTATAGTCTTTTTAAAGGATGTAAGGAGTTGTCCTTTAAGCTTTCACTTCAGCTCCAGTTTTATACTATAACTAGCAGGTGGTTATACACTTGATCTTAGCCAAAAGGCCGAGAAGTGATACAGCAGGTGGTCATAGAACTAAGGCTTTAAGAACCATCTTTCACATTTCAGCAATAAAGACTTTCTTGTTTCTAATGATGTTCTTTTTCCTTTCAAACCAATATTGTGGGTTTTGCCTTTACCTTTCAGTAGGCAATATGGACTGAAATCTTCAAAAAATTTGGTTGGGCCAACAAAAGCAATTTAGGGTCCTGAACAAATATTCTGCTCTTCCCCTAAGGGACAACACATCGCCAATGAAACAGAATGATTCTAAATATTAATATCTATAGATATAGAGAACTCTAGAGCTGTGCTGTACAATAATGGCAGCTACTAGTCATATGTGGATCCTGGGCACTTGAAATGTGGCAACTTCAAATTGAAATATGCTGTGAATGTAAAACACCGTCCTGGCTTTCAAACGCTTAGGATAAAAACAGGATGTAAACTATAGAGAGGTTTAAGTTATAGTATTTTAGACATCTTAGGTTAAATACAAGTTTTTTTTATCCCTGGCTGGTGTGGTTCAGTGGATTGAATGCCAGCCTGAAAACCAAAGGGTCCTGTTTAGATTCCCAGTCTACAGGACATGCCTGGGTTGTGGGCCAGGTCCCCAGTAGGGGGGCACATGAGAGGCAACCACACATTTAGGTTTCTCTCCTCTTTCTCCCTCTTCTTCTCTCTAAAAGTAAAAGAATAAAATCTTTAAAACAATTTTTTTTTTTATTTTCATCTTTATTTTTATACATTTTTTAATGTGGTTACCAGAAAATTGTTAAATACAAACGTGGCTCATGTTCTATTCCTATTTAACAGAGAGCTGCTCTAAAGTGAAAATTTTAATAGGAAGACTGGGACCTGAATTAAAACCTTATAATTAAACTATGGAAGTTAAAATGGGTGTTCTAGACTACAGGTAAGACACAATCTTATCTCCCTACTTACTTTAAACATTATATTTCCTAAAGAAAATGAACAATGATAAATGGAGAACTTACAGGCACTTTTCAAATTCTGGAAGAACAGTTCCTAATTGCATTCGCCTACGAGTTACATCAAATGGGTAGCTAAAAAAAGAAAAAGGCAGGACTTAAAAATTATTTTTAATTTTCTGCTTAACAATTATTGAATACAAAGCCCTATATAGGCTAAGAAATAATGTGTTCCTATTCTCTTATGTTTGGGAGTGAGGATGCAGGAACATGAATACAATTAAATAACAATACAGAGGTCTCCTGGCATTTGATTATGTTGTTCCCTCAGGTTAGATCATTCTTTACTCCTATCACAATATCAATTGTTATTCATCCCTTAAGGTCAGATTAAATGCCACTTCCTGAAGAAAACAAATTGGGTGTTTTTCACAGTTGTAGCCCTAAGATGGGGTTTCTCATCTTTGGTACTACTCACATTTTGGGTTGGATACTTCTTCGTAGTGAAGGGCTATCTTGTGTATTGTAAGATTGTCAGGTGCATCCCTGGCTTCTACTCACTAGAAACCAGTAGCACATCTCCATCTGTGACAACCACAATGTCTCCAGACATTAATCAATGTTCACTGGAGACAAAAGCACCCAAGCTGAGAACCACTAATATAAGAATATTCACCAAGTCGCCCTGTATATAGTAGACCAACAAAAATAAATTTCTTTTAGGGCTATAATGAACAATACAGATAATTACATTTGGAGGACAGAGAAAATTCTATGTAAAGATTACCTGAAATGAAATATACAAAAGTAATCTCTCTTTGGAGTAGGATCTCAGGTGATTTTTTGGAATTTTACTTTGCTAATATTAACTAATAATGTTAGATCTTGTGCTAAACAACTTATGTACATTATCTCATTCCATCTTCACAACAATTGCATAAAGTAGGTACTATTATCCCAACATTAAGATAAGAAGATTGGGGCCCTGGTTGGTGTGGCTCAGTGGGTTGAGCACTGGCCTGTGAACCAAAGGGTCACTGGCTCGATTCTGAGTCAGGGCACATGCCTAGGTTGTGGGCCAGGTCCCTGGTTGGAGGTCTATGGGGGGTTGCCAATTGATGTCTCTCTGGCACATCAATGTTTCTCTCCTGCTCTTTTACCCTCCTTTCCCCTTTCTCTAAAAATAAGTAAATAAAATCTTTTTTAAAAAGAATCAAAACTTGAGTTTAAGAAACATTCGCCAATTGATGTCACTCTGGCACATCAATGTTTCTCTCCTGCTCTTTTACCCTCCTTTCCCCTTTCTCTAAAAATAAGTAAATAAAATCTTTTTTAAAAAGATTAAAAACTTGAGTTTAAGAAACATTCTATAGTGTCAAAAAGCTGCTTTCTACTTTCTAACTCAAAGTTCTCCATGGTACCTTATATATACATAAGTGATACATGACAAAAATAATTACATACTTTTGTATACATTAAACTTATTATGAAATAGTTATAATTGAAAAAAATACAAACCAAATAGCTCAAGAAATAACATTACCAACTGTTGAAACTCCCTATGTACTTCAATGGCATCTCCAGGAATTATTTTTTAACGGGGTGTGAGGAGAGGAAAAAACTTTATGGGGATAAAGGGACCAAAACCTCAACCTGAAGGATTCAGCTTCTAAGCAGGAAAAGATGTATGTGGGTAGAAGATGATTCGTATAAAGGACAATGTAAGAAGATAAGGTACAAGGATCGGAACTAAGGAAATAACAATGAGGAAGAAAGAAAATAGCACTGTAGACAAATGGTCTGGAGTAAAAAATAGTAAGACTTAGTGAATATATAGATATGTAAAATGTAAGAAATGATTCCGAGGCATTATCATGACTAGAAGATTATTGTTTATCAATAACAAATAGGAAAGTTGGGAAGCTGAGTGTCACAAAGAGGAAATATCTGAATTACAGAGTCGGCACTAACTGCAGAAGTCCAAGTAGAAACATCCCAGAGCTTGCCAGAGAAGTAATAGTGAGTTAACAATGGAGATTTAAGTAGAACTGGTTATCTGTAGAGAACCGGTTATCTTTATAAAGCCATAAAGATGGATGAGCTATTCTGGCTATTTAAGGGAAGGGTGAAGGACTAACGTCTGGCTGGGCCTTTAAAAACTGGCACAGACGGGTAGGAAGACGAAGACACGAATCAGCAAAGTACCAGAAAAGGGAGAGTTAGAGAGAATGATAGCCAAGAAAGGGCACTGTTACAAAAACCAAGGAACTAGAACGATTGGAAGGAAGGTAAAAGGCCTGAGAAGGAGCCAATGGATCTGTTAAGAATCAATGGGTATAGAATACAGAGATTATGATAAGTGGGAAAGAGAAGACAGATTCTAAGGATATAAGCTGGAAGTAAGTAACAAAGGAAAATGGCAATAAAACCAAGAAGAGAGTTAGAATAGCCAGAGGTGATCATGTCTCTGCAAATGAACAAGGTTCAACAGCCAGGTTTCCAAAAGTAAATCAGACACCCATTTTCTTCTTTTCCCTCATATGATCTGCTCCCTCACACAAGTACACCACATTTGCTTTCACAAAAGCTAATACTTAATTGTAAAATCCAATGAAAAACTTACTTTTCAGTACTTATCTTACTTTGACTTTTCTTTTTCCATTGGATATTCTTTTTTGAGTTTGTGACACTACCACTTCCTATTGTCTTCTGTTTTACACGATACTCATTCATAGAAAGCTTTTCTTCCTATTCCTGAAAAGTTCCTGCTTCCTAGTGTTCCAGCCTCTTTTTATTTCATCTACTCAATCTCTCTTGGTCTAGAGAAATTCTTTGAAGCCACCTTTCCAATTACAATATAGTAAAACCTTTATGTTTGCACTAGAACTTAGGTTGATATATAATTCCACTGTATTGCTATCGTCTCAATAAGAGTACAGGCTTCTTGAGGCAATAACTGTTTTTCCTTTAGTAAACCTCCCAATGCCTTGTACACTGTCTGACAAAGCAGGCCTTCAATATTTTAGTGCAAGAGAAGTTGTGCCTACTTGCGCACACAAACACATTAAATGGCTCAAATTTCAGAAATTTCATACAGGCAAAGCAAATTCATGAGAAAATATAGATGAAGACTATACTTAGTGTTTCTATCTTACTTCTGAATGAATCCACAGGAATTTGGGTGGTTTCACTAATTTGGTTAATTTGGCACTAAATTATTTATAACATGCTAAAAGTGCAGGCACATCTGAAAAAATGTATTAAATTAATACTTATATTTTGCAAGGAATACTGTGTTCTAATATCCTATTAGAAAAAATGATTAACCAATGCTAAATATCAGAATTGGGTAATTTGACTCAATTAAGTTGATGAAGAAACTTACGATATTGTCTGTGCTATTGCTCCAGCAACACCACCACAAAGTAAGTTTATGTGAGTTTTCAAAACTAAGACATTGGGATTGTCTGATGAAGGTCTGCCAAGAAGGGTAGGAGCATGGGAAAGCCCAACACTCTTTAAGGTACCAAAAGTAAAAAATGAAACACCTGAAAAACAAAATATAAATTCACCACGGTGCTTAACAGAACATGAGCTGTGAAAAGATACCAATCTTACAAAATAACCAATTAACTCAAGGAACTAACTATGCATTTCCTGTTTCCTGATGTTTGGCTTAATTTAAGATAAAAAAATAATTAATGCCTATAATTAACATAAAGACAACATAATTAGCACTTATAAAAAATTATAGCATTGGTTTTGCACACACTAATATAAATAGTTCAGTTCACTGAATAAAGGCATTGACAAGTCTAATGCCACCTTATATAGGAATAGAATTAAACTATTTTCCATTGTTTCCCATGAATAAATATTAAATTCATGATTAATAATTACAAGTAAATATGATAACTTCTATTTATAATAACAATAATGGTGATAATGTAAGATAGAGGCAAAAAATTCAGAGCTGCCAAAGCATTGCTATTTTAACTGAGTATCTAATTTTGTCTCCAAGAAAGAGTTGGGACCAGGAGAGAAATGTTCATATTGGCTCGCAAGACACATGAAATCAAATAAATATTGAATTAAGTTATTGGTAATATGAAGTTGGTATTGCTGAAAATTTACATGAGTTTATAATAGACCCATTAAAGCCGTATATTAATAAAATCAAGAATAGAATTCAAACATTCCTATCACCTAAACATTGCTCACGATATCCTGATATCTACTAAATTTTAAAAACATATTTAAAGAGATACTTGATGCTTAAGAACAAATAAGCACTAACAGAAATCCAGGCCAGGATAATACCTCAATACATGCATTTATTCTTTATACAAAATTCTTATAATTTTATAGTATTTGGAAATGATGATATACAATTTTGGAATAGTCATACACTTATAGTTGGAAAATCTAGTCCAAGGACTTAATCTAAACACAGAAAAAGCTCAAGACAAGAGAGTTCATAGCAACTGAAACATAGGTGGAAAAAAATAGAACTACCTAAATGATGTGGAGTCATAGTTAATAAAATATGATACAATGAATAAAAATGATGTTTTTAAAGACTTCAAAAATATAAAAAATACTTGGAAAATTGGGAAGAATTAAGAAATTATATATGCACATATAACTGTGTAAAATATATTTTAAAAACTGAAAATTAAAACAAAAATGAGAAGAAAATGTAACAAAAAATTAGAGTTCTGCTTCCAGCATAATGGCAGGATGGGTATTCGGAGGGACTTTGTCACTGCAGAACAACTATATCCACTGCAAAAAGTATAAGGTATCTAAGAATGCCCAGAACCACCACTTCCCAAAAATATAAGCCCACTTGGGAGTTGTGGGCCCATGAGAGTAGTGGAATGACTACATATTGACGCCAATAGCAGTAAAGCCATTGAAATGGTTCCTCATTGGTCCTGCAGAAGAAGGAATCATTCAATCTGAAACTCAGATATTAAGATCAAGTAATAAGCTCATAATTAAAGACCTCCAAGCACAGGAGGAGGAAAATAAATTTGTATATTTATAAAGAATAAGGGAGTAAGGATTCATAAAAATAAGCAAACAAGATGGGAAAGAAATGTAAAAAAAAAGAAAAGCAACACATAGAAATCAAGTAGCAAGATACAGGAACAAGTCCAAATATATCAGGAATCATAATAACCATCAAGTGAACTGACAATTAAAATATTTTATAGACTGGATTAAATAAAATATCTTAGCTATGTGATGATTACAAAAGAAATACCTAAAACATAAAGACATGAAAAAGCAGAAAATAAAAAGGATGAAAAAAAGATATACCAGGCAAATATTAACTTGGATATGGAGAAAAAAATAATTATGAGATGGGTGGGAATCTGAACAATGACTACATGAAACTCAGAATTCTTTTTCAAGTTTCAAATGGTACGTAGCCATGCTTTTAAGAAAAGCATAAAGAACTAACTACAGATATATTGTGGATGAAATAAAGCCAATTTGCTTTAAAACAATTTGAAATGAGGGTGGAGGGAGTAATCAGGGGTTAGATAAAGCAAGATTTGCCATGAGTTGATCACTATTGAAGCTAAGTGATAGGTACATAGTACTTCTGAATGTTTAAAATTTCCAAATTTTAAGTAAAAACAAATGAAATAAACTCAGTGAATGCAGCTAAAGCAATATTTAGGGAAAAAAATGCTTATACTAGGGGGAAAAAATCTAAAGGTTGAAAGTTAATTAGATAAGCATCCAAGTGAAGAATAAACCCAGAGAAAGAAGATAATTAAGACATGAACAAAAATTAATGAAATGGTAAATAAAGGTAAGCTAGAAAAAAAAACAAAATGAAAAGTGGGACACAACTATAGATAGAATGGATATGAAAAAAATAAGGCAAACCTTTTAAAAAAAATTGAAAACTAGCACAAAACAGTCAAGTTCATAATGGTAAAGAAAACTATGAATTACCAAAAATGACTCACAAAAACCTGAACAGCCTTACAGTCATTCAAGAAATTAAACCAGTATTTAAAAATCATCCTATAATTCAAACTCAAGAGACAGATAACTGTAATCATTTTATACAGATTCTTCCTGAGGATGGAAAATGAAGAAATACTCTTTAATTCATTCTATGAGACCTTGAGGATATTACAAGAAAAGAAAATTACAAAGTAATCTCACTTACAAATATAAATGTAACACTTATAAAAACAGCAAATTGAATCCAACAGGATATAAAAAGATTATATCACAATCAATTTGGGTTGACATTAGAACATCCATTAATATCATTCACCATATTAACAGATTAAAGGGGAAAACTATGTGATCACCTCAGTAAATACAGAAAAGGGCATGTGATAAAATTCAACACTGATTCAGATAAAAATTCTTATCAAAACTTCCTCAACATGATAATAACTATACACTACAGTAAACATTATACTAAATGAAGTGTTAGAAATATTCCCTTTAAAGTCAGTAATAGCCAAAGTTCCCAGAATTATCCATTTTATTCACTGCTGCACTGTAGGTCCTTAGCTAGTATAGTAAGACAGAACAAATGTAAATAAATTTTTAAAAAATAAGGATTAGAATGAAGTAAGAAACATAATATTATTTGCACAGGATATGACTGCCCACACAGAAAACTCAAAACATCTACAAGTAACATGGTAGCTGGCTATGATATCAACAAGTAGTTTAACAGCAAGTTGTTAAGATCGCATAAAAATTAAATCAAGCGATAAACATAAAATGTAATTTTCTAAAAAATACTACAAAGCTTATAAGGTTTCAATACTATATCTAGCAGAAATGTCCAAAAACTGTATGAAATTTCATTCAAAATCCAAACAAGTTTCCTGTACAACATCAAAACCTGATTCTAATGTGGAATAGCAAAATATCTATAGTTCTTACATTCCTGGGAAACAAAAAAAGCATAAAGTCAAGGGACTTGTCCTACCAAATATAAAGACATTAGAAAACTGCATTCTATTATTGTTCTAAAAAGTAGCTCTGAAGATCACTGGGGAAAGAAGGGACTGGCTGCTGAGTAAATGGGCTATGTCGAACAGTTCCTCTTCAGGAGGAAAAAATAGTAATCCTGACAGAGGAGTGACTAAGATATAAAATACTAAACTTTAAAATCATTCTGAGAAGGAATAAAGAAAAAAAAGATTCTGTCAAATTTGAAACATACCTGCATAGGGAGCCATTCCTAATATAGTAGGCATCAGGCCTCTGTAAAATCCAAGGAAACCGCCTTCCTTTTGAGTGAAGAAAAGAAGATTACATTGCTTTCAATATGCTAAACATCAAAGAACAAAAGCATACATTATAATAAAAAAATTATTCTGGCACCAATCTTGAAACACAGATGTGTTTTTGTAATTATTATTAATTACTTATAAATAAAATAATTATTTAGATAACATTCAAAATATTTCCCTAAATATAAAATAACATGTTATATAGATGAAAAAAGTAAATATGTACCTTTGCATAAATTGTTCTGAAAGCATGAATAATTCCTGTGTAGGTGTGTTCCCCTTTCACCTGGAATGCTAAGCGTACTCTAACCATGTCAAGAGGGTAAGTACAGATAACTGCTGTCATACCTGGAAAAAAGTAAAAACTTAAATGTGTAAGAAATTTTTTGGCACATATATATCTCTTCCCTATCATTATATCATATTATATATATAGAAGATATATATACGTATTTTGACAAATACAAAATACACATAAAGATATAAATCTATATATATCCATATATAATACATATATAAAGATATATATATCTTTCCTATCATTTGTTTTATTCTCAAATTATAGCAATGATGAAAACCCAATGAAATCAAAGGTGAGCCCTGGCTGGTGTGGCTCAGTGGACTGAATGCCTGGCTGTGAACCAAAACGTCGCTGGTTTGATTCCCAGTCAGGACATATGCCTGGGTTGCGGGGCCAGGTCCCCAGTTGGGGGCGTGCAAGAGACAACTGATCAATGTACTTCTTGCACATGGGTGTTTCTCTCCCTCTCTTTCTCCTTCTCTGCCCCTCTCCCTGAAAGTAAATTAAATAAAATCTTAAAAAAAACCAAATTGATAAGGGGACTTCAGGTCAAGATGGAGGCATAGGTAGACATGCTTTGCCTTCTTGCATAGAAAGAATCACAACCAGAGCTCAAAAACAAATACACCCAGAACTGTCAGAAAATCCAGAACTATCAGAAAATCCAGCTGTCTGGAAGTTTGACAAACAAGGATTTAAAGAAGTCACACTTATCCAGATGGGTAGGATGGGCAGAGTAGCAAAGCGGGGCAGAGAGGATGCTGTGCAGCACAGAGAGGCAGCAGTACCAGTGGTAGAACAGGTGGTCTCACATGCATGTATGGTGAATAAAAATCAGGAGGGATACCTTGGGAGCAAGTGATCCCCGCCCCAGGCCAGACCACACAGCCCAGCATTCCAGCACCAGGAAGATAAACTGCCATTACCTCTGGCTGTAAAAGCCAGTGGTGGTTGGGGCAGCAGAAGAAACTGCTGGATTTTTGCTGCTTAAAGGGCCTGCATAGGCTTAGAACATACACAAAACCCACAGCAGCAGTTGGCAGGGTGCCAACCACACCTGGGAGGTAGATGAAGTGACTAGAAGCTGAGTGAGTGCCCAGCAGGCCTCCAAAAGCCAGGCAGCAGCACTGACCCCTCACCAAGCCTCTCTCCCCCAACACACACACAGCCACAAAGGGTGAAGTGGATTGCCCCGCCCTGGCAATTACCTAAGGCTCTGCCATACACAATTTACAGGTGCCTTTTCTACATAGGCCACACTACTAAGGGAGTAAAAGTAGCTCTACTTAATACACAGAAACAAACACAGGGAGGCAGCCAAATTGAAGAGGTAAATAAATACGGCCCAAATGAAAAAACAGAAAAAAACCTCAGAAAAATAAGTAAACGAAATAGAGATAGCCAAGCTATCAGATGCAGAGTTCAAAACACTGGTAATCAGGATGCTCATAGAACTCAGTGAATACAGCCATAAAATAAAGGAAGAAATGAAAGATACAGTAAGTGAAATAAAGAAAAATATACAGAGAACCAACAGTGAAGGGAAGGAAGTGAGGATTCAAATCAACGATTTGGAACAAAAGGAAGAAATAAACATTCAGCCAGAACAGGAAGAAGAAACAGGAATTCAAAAAAACAAGGATAGGCTAAGGAACCTATAGGACAACTTTAAATATACCAACATCTGAATCATAGGGTGCCAGAAGCAGAAGAGGAAGAGCAAGAAATTGAAAACATATTTGAAAAAATAATAAATAAAAACTTCCGTTGTCTGGAAAAGGAAATAGACATACAAGTCCAGGAAACTCAGAGTCCCAAACAAGATGGACCCAAAGAGGACCACGCCAAGACACATCATACTTAAAATGCCAAAGGTTAAAGATAAAGAGAGAATCTTAAAAGCAGCAAAAGCAAAGCAGGGAGTAGCCTACAAAGGAGTTCCCATGTCAGCTGAATTTCTCAAACTTTACAGGCTAGAAGGGACTGGCAAGAAATATTCAAAATTAAAAAGCAAGGACCCACAACCTGGGTAACTCTATTGAGCAAAGCTATCATTTAGAATGGAAGGGCAGATAAAGTGCTTCCCAGACAATGTATAGCTAAAGGAATTAATTATCACCAAGCCATTATTACATGAAATGGTAAAGGGACTTATTTAAGGAAAAAAAATCAAACTATGAACATTAAAATGACAACAAACTCACAACTATCACTCACTCAATCTAAAAAACAGAAAAACAGCCCTGGCTGGTGTGGCTTACTAGATTAGAGAGCGCTGGCCTGTGAACCAAGGGCTCGCCAGTTCAATTTCCCGTCAGAGCACATGCCTGGGTTGTGGCCCAGATCCTAAATTGTGGGCGCATGAGAGGCAACCACACACTAAAGTTTCTCTCCCTTTCTTTCTCTCCCCCCTTCTCTCTAAAAATAAGTAAATAAAATCAACAAAAAACAAAACAAAACCCAACTAACTAAGCAAACTACCAGAACAGGAACAGAATCATAGATATGGAGATCATTTGGATCTTCAAATCTCCAGTTGTCAACTGGGAGGGAGAAGGGATAGGGAGAAAGGTGCAGGAATTAAGAAGCATAATTGGTAGATACAAAATAGACAGGAGGATGTTAAGAATAGTATAGAAAATGAAGAAGCCAAAGAGCTTATATGCACAAACCATGGACATGAACGGAGGTGGGGGGCGGGGCGGGGGGCGGGGTGGTAACTGCTGGAGGGAAAGGGTTTACCAGGCAGAGTGAGGCAAAGAGAGAAAAACTGAGAGGACTGTAATAGCATAATCAATAAAATATACTAAAAAAAAATTTGATAACAATCAGTGTTGGTATGGAATGTAGGGGAGAAGGCTGTTGAAAGCATTATGGAGATCAGCTTGTCAAATCCTATCAAAATTAATATGTATATTCTTGCATACATCAAGTAAGTTTTCTTCTCAAAATGTATTCTATAGACATGGTCACAAAAATACAATGTGTTCTTTGTGAAAAAAAATTGAAAATATACCAGATGTCAATCAATAGGAGACTGATTAAATAAATCATGGTACAGTCATACCTTAGAATGCAACACAGTTCTAAAAGAAAGAAAGAAATTTGACCTCTAAAAGAAAAAAACTATACCATAATCCTTTTACAAAATAAGGTCTGTGTATACACACACACACACGTACACACACACACACACACAGATAACTAAAAGAAAAGTTCTTCTACAGAGTAGTATTAGAAAAAAGCATACATAAGACTGTTAACAGTGATGGCTTCTAGGGAGTGATACTACTTTCATTATAAAGGAGTAGGTGTTACTCTAGTCAGTATAATTTTTAAATTTTTTGAAAGAAGTAAATGAATATGTTCAGGAGAATTGTCAAAGGAAATGTATGTTTTCCATATAGTTGTAAGTTTAGATGATTCCTTAACATCTCCCGCTGTAAAATACTGTCTTTGAGTTGGGATATTAACAATTTCATATATAATTGAATATAGAAAGAAATGTATGTTGTTAATCAATGTCACACATATCACCTAAACCAAATTATTTTAATAGAAAACAAATTTGTCAAAAATAAAATAAACCCACTCCTCTTACCTGCCATGGATCCAGCCATTAATCTGTGCACATGACCAGAAATTCCCAGCTTTGTAGTAATTAACTAGAAACCAAAAACATCAAATTAAATGAGATATTTTTAAAATGCTACCCATTTCACTGTTTAATAATGAAAATTTATTTCAACAGAGTTACAGAACTAGTAAAAAGAAAATATTAAATGTGAGTGAAATGAACACAATTATATGAAACTGTTATTTCATATCATAAACAGGTCAGATATTTTCTGTTTAGCCTCTGCTCTAATTTTGTATTTTTACAGAAGCAATCTAGCTTAGAAGTACCAAATATACTATGTGTTGGTGATCACAAATAAAGTATAAATTGGAGTAGCAGGAATAAAATGCTTCTATAGACAGTGAAGTCTTCATATACTGAAGGCATCCATTCTATCTGACAGACTAGCTTACAATATTGTTCCCATCTCTACTGTTTCCTTTTCATTTTAATATACACTATGAAATTTAACATACATAACCCCTTCTGTGTAAAGATGTTTGAGAAGATAAACTTTCACTCAGCTAGAAAACAGAAATTTGATCAATGAGTAAGATGGGAAAAGCTGTTAACTTAGATCATTACTTAAAAACAGATTTTTTTACACTATGGTTTCACTATTTTATTTAACAAGAAAATCCAAAGCCACAATGTTCCTCTCCTACAATTAACAAAAGAAATATTAAAGAGCTATAGATATTTTATGGACTTATTATCTAAATGAAGAATACTTTGGCTCTTTTTCTTAAGTGTGAATATAAACAATTTACTCAAAAATTACTAACAATTCTGGAATAGATAACTCTAAACCCAAGTTATATTTAAAATTTTAAACTATCACAAGTCTTATTCCTTCAAAAAGGCGTAACTTTACCCATTCATCCAAAATAACTTTAAAGGCCAAAGCAAATGCCTTGTCAACTAAGTATGATAGTTAAGGACACAAAAGAAGAAAACAAAATAAAAGTTCACCGTTTTATAATGCTCAAACGCCATAAACTGGATTGCACCATAGGGAAAGATTCGAATCATCATTGCACCATTCCCTTTATACAATCCAAGGTATCCCTCCTTTTGGGGAACAGCACGCAATGTAGAAAATACTCCTATTTTTAGAAAGATTTTTAGAAGAAAAATACTATTAAAACAGAGAAAACTATCTAAATTCAAATTTTCACGACCATCACAGGTAAAGATTACTAATATCATCATTTATAATATAATTTTGTTTGAGAAATTACATGAATAGTAATTTCTATGTAAGTTAATACTACTTGAAATATAGCACTTGTTCAAATTATATAAATATACCTCATGTAAATTTATAAAACATTACAGCAAGAACAGCTACAAATTACAGTAAATTATATTTACAATTATCACAAATTATATTAAACTATAGTTATCTAAATATATTAACAACAGACATATAATCAAAGTCCATATACTGCAGTGCAGATGATCAACTCTATCTGGAAGGATGAAGGAAGATTTCCCAGACTGACCCAGATGCCTGTGTGGTTTGCTTTACATAAGAACACTGCTGCTTGCCACGGCTGGTGTGGCTTCACTGATTGGAGTGTCGCTCCTAGCAGGTTTGACCTCTCCCTCTCCCTCCTTTTCCCCTCTTCCCCTCTCTCTAAAAATCAATAAGCATGTCCTCAGGTGAAGATAAGAAAAAATAAAAAATACTGCTAAATAAGAGAAACAAATAACAACTATTAAAACTATTTAAATTGGGGGGTGGGCAAAGTTTCATCATTAGGACATTTTAATGAGGAATACTGATAAACAAAGGCCTAAATTCTGATCCTATATATTGATACATTTATTATTTTATTAAGGTTAATCACTAATCCCATTTGCAGTACAGACTTCAATAAACATACCACTAAATACTTCCATTATTAAACCATTTAAATTCACATTTCTTTCCAAATTTTTCAAACAAAAATCTGATTAAATATTACAGTAAATCACTAGGGTCATTTTGAATTTTAGACTGTAAGTAAACTTTTGATTCCTTCCCATAAATTAAACATGTAGGTACTTATTAACATTCAAGAAAAAATACATCATAAAAATATTTTTAGCCCTGGCTGGTATGGCTCAGTGGATCGAGCACTGGCCTGCGAACCAAAAGGTCGGTGATTCAATTCCCAATCCTGGGTTGCGGGCCAGGTCCCTGGTGGGGGACACGCGAGGTGCAACCACACATTGATGTTTCTCTCCCTCCCTTCCCCTCTGTCTTAAAATAAATAAATAAAATCTTTAAAAATAAATAAATAAATCTAATTCTGATCTGTTTATTTAAAAAAAATTTTTTGTATAAGCAAGTATCTAAATGGACTAACGGTCTAGTAAAAAGAATTCTATTATGTTGACATATGGCTATGTACATAATATACGAAATTCTCCCAAAATGCATGAATAATAAAAGTAAATATATTCACAAACACACCCAGAAAAGAAATTCTATTAATGATGGTGTCCCCTTGCAGGAAAAGGGAGCAAAAGTCCTGTTTAATTTTATTCAAATGCGTTTGTAACAATTTAAGGGAAATTAAATTTAGAAACATGACTACCTAGTAGGGACAGGAAGGCTGGTGATGATGAAAGGGAAGTAAAGAGGTTTCAACCATACTGACTGTGATGCGCTGTGTGGGTCCACATGTTTATTATACAGGGACTGGCCGAAGTAAGGCCTGCTTGAGTATGGTTGGTAGAGTAATAATGTGGGTGTAATCATTTCTAGTTTTAATTTGAACATTACATCTAAAATGTCATATGGTGTGCTTGAGTGTAATACTGCTATATTTCAAAATTACATGCTTATGATTTTGTAATCAAAGATTCTGTAATAAAAAGGAGCCAGACCCTGTATCATTCTTTAAAACTTCGATTATCACAAACATTTTAAGAAAAGCCATTAGTAGAGGCAAAATAGATACAGTACTTTTAAGAAAAAGGAAATCTAGGAAAGAAAGACCTGGGGAGGGGAACTGGAGACAACAAAAAAGACACAATAAACAGAAAACATAAAATAAGAATGTGAGTGAATAACTCAATGATAGCAAAAAAGAAAAGCTGAATGACAAAGTCCTTTATGAAAAGCCAAAGACTGGCCCTGGCGTCACACTAGGTGTGACTCAGTGGGCTGAGCATTGTCCTGCATACTGAAAGGTCACAGGTTCAATTCCCAGTGGGGTTACAAGCCTGGGGGTTCCCGGTTGGGCCCCCAGTTGGGGCAGGTGCAAGAGGCAATTGATTGGCATTTCTCTCTCAAATCGATGTTTCTGTCTCTTTCTCCCTCACTTCCCCTCTCTCTAGAATCAATAAAAGGAAAAAAAATTTTTTTTAAGCCAAAGAGTATCAAATTCTCTTAAAAGGCCATATTTAACCATATGCTTTTTACGAAAATCTCACCAAAAATAAAATAACTGAGAAAAACAAATAGATGAAAAATGGATATTAAATGTTTTCAAATTGTTTTAAATATCCACTGATATAATTGTATGGTTTATTTTCCTTCAACCTACAATCTGTTTTCACTTTGGGAAATAAACTGAAATTTTCTTTCTTTTATTATTATTTTTTTTAATCCTCACCCAAGGATATGTTTATTGATTTTAGCGACAGAGAGGACGGGGGAGGGAAGGGGAGAGAGAGGGAAACATTGATCGATTGCCCCTGCACATGCCCCAACCCAGGATCAAACCCACAGCCTAGGTATGTGCCATGACTGAAGTACCAACCTGCAACCTTTTGGTGTATGGGTTGACGCTCCAACCAACTGAGCCACCCAACCAGGGCTGAAATTTCTTTTTAATGTTTTTTTAATTTTTCAACTACAGTTGACACACAATATTATATTAGTTTCAGTTGTACAACATAGTGATTGGACATTTATATAACTTATGAAGTGATCATCCCAGCAAATCGAGTACCAATCTGACAACATGTATAGTTATTTCAGAGATTTTCTCTATGACATAACACTGGACCAATTTTTGCAAAGGTTACAAAGTTATTTGGAAAGAATATGTGTTCCCTGTAGGGTGCAAATCCTCAATGTATCTATATACGAAGCTTGCGTGTTATTTAAATCCTTCTCTGTATCTTTACTTAATATCAAGATAGGATTAGAAGGAACTAACATTTGGTAAAATATGAGCATATGCTTGTGTATGTACACATTAGCAGAAAGCAAATGGAAGAAACTTGGGAAAATCCTTGATTCCAAGAGGGAACACGGACAGGTAATGACATTTTGCTTTTGTACTTTTTTGAATTATGAACTTGTATAAACATACATTCAAAAATTGTTTAAAATACCCTGTAAAAGGAATAAAATTAAAAGTAAAAATTCTTAAAGAATCCTATTATGTTTCATCTACCTATTTTTATATCACATTTGATTCTACCTATTTTTATATCACATTTGATTCTACCTATATATCACATTTATATTCTACCTATTTTTATATCACATTTGACTGTAAAAAGCTAAATGGAGATGAAAGATTTATAATATGTTACAGGAAAAAATTCTTTACACTAACTCAAAACTGGGGGAAGGAGATTCTAATTACCATACTCCTTCCTTTTCATTTGGCCACAATAATTTTGATTAAAAATAAAAAGTAGTTTTTGATGCTTTGAATGTATTGTCACACATTTTTTATTTTTTTCTCTTTTTTCCAAAAATTACACCAATGTAAAGCAGAGCTCTACTTGACGTGAATGTGTTGTTTAGGCATTAACTGTACTGCTCTTACAACATGCTCAATGGACAGTAGCACAACCCCAAGAAAAGGATGCTTCACACATTTTTTAAAAGAAGCTAAAGTAGAAGTTTTATGCAATTGCACATCATCTTTAATTTGACTGTGAAAACTCATGCTTTAAAATACCAAAATTTTTAAAATGTTTATATATACATATAAAAAAGGAGGTATCTAGAATAAAATGCCAAAAAAAATTTTAAAGAAAATAAAAAGCCAACAATACCTTTTTTTATGGCTTGTATACCTGTTTGGGGTTTTTTTTTTTACAGATTGTATATTTTAAAGATACATGAAATTCCATATACTACACCACTGCAGGAATTCCATTTCAAATTTTACATGACTTACAGGGTACACTGCAAGCCATGGCATGCAGCCCTGTAGAGCGTGAAATCTAATGTGAATATGTAATCTAATAATTACAAATTAGGAAACAAAACAACACAGATCAGCATGGCGAGCAGGTTAAAGGAATAAAACAATCCTGCTCAGTCACTGGTATGTTGACTCATTGTAAAACACTCCAAGATACTGGGTAATAGGTACCCAGGTACCTTTTCACCCTCAATTTAGATAACAAAAGAAAATAATTTCCTTCCTTTCCAGTTTTATAGAATCTCTTAATAAGTTCAAAAGTCTGATTCTTTCTATATATGAAGAGCACACTGTGAACATACAGAATTTATTGCTGGACATAGAGATGGTAGTAACTTTTTTCTTTCAATTTTAAATATTAAAAATACTGACAACAAAGTGAGCTGCAATTAATATAAAATATAAATAGCCATTACATTTTTAAAGGAAAATCACATTTTAAAAACCCAATCGAAAAAATAATTCTTATCTACTCTGTTAATCATCTTTCTTCTACACTGATGTGGCATAGATCATGCAGAGCACTCATTCCTATCCTTTGAAGCACAAAGCTAAGGCAATGAAGTGGTATGAGTTGGTTGCCTTGACCTAATTTCTTTCTTGGTGTCTGTCCAGATTAATTTTTTTAATTGATTTTTAGAGAGAGAGAGAAGAAGGGGTAAGGGGAGAGGAGGAGAGAGAGAGAGAAAAAGAGGGATACAGAAACATTGATTTGCCGTGTCACTTATTGATAGGTTCATTGGTTGCTTCTTGTATGTACCCTGACTGGGTACAGAACCCACAACCTTGGCATAACAGGACCACACGCTAACCAACTGAACTACCTGGCCAGGGCAACATATTAAATGTTTTAAAAAATCTTTTCTCCTCTAGTGTAAAAAAAAATATCTGTATATTCAACATGTATTACAAATTAGCTCAGAGGAAAAATATTTAATCTCACCACTGAGTATTAACCATTAATGTTAATATGTCTTTTTAGCCTTTTGTCTAAGCACATGTTTATTTATATAAAATGCAAATTATTCCACCATTTTGTAATATTTTAAAATTAACTAATACATTATGAATGTTGTTCCTAGTCAATTAATATTTTTTTTAAAACTTACAATTGCAAAATAGTCTATAATATGGACTTATTTATTTAAATAATACTTATTTAACTTAGACAATTCCATATAATGCTTTGATTCTCATATATACATCTTTGAGCATATTTCTGATTAGTAGTTCCTTAAAATAACCTCTTAGAACTAGAATTGCAAGGCCAAAGGGTATGTATCTTTTTGATGAGTTTACCAAAATGCACTCCAAAAAGGCTATAAAAAATTCTTAGTAATACCAATGAATTATTATTATTGTCCATGTTAATTAAATGGCTGATTTTTATGTTTTAAATAACAATTAATGGCTTGATATTTTTTAACAATGCCAGTTTACCCATATATTTTATTTGAACTTTATACAAATTGCATCGGATTCTGCTTGTACTAAGATTTCTATAAGGTGTATTTAATTAAGTGTTTAAAGGAATAAACTTATCTCCATCACTGACTGCAATTAAAAAAAAAAAAAGTTTTACTGATTCTAGAGAGAGAGGGAGGGAGAAAGAGAGGGAGAGAAACATTGATGTGCGAGAGAAACACAATCAGCTGCCTGCCAAATGCACCCCAAACAGGGACCAAACACACAATCCATGCATGTTCCAGGAATGGAATCAAACTGGTGACGTTTTGGTTTGCAGACGATGCCCAACCAACTAAGCCACGCCAGTCACGGCCTGATTGTATTCTTTTAAAAAAAATCTGGCTGAGCTATTAATGTGTGTCCGTCAAGGATGAGACACGTTAACCTCAATAACCAAACAGTAGTACTTCAATGATCCGAAGATTTTGGTTTAGAGGATATCAGTACCCTAAAACAATTATAACCACTACAGCAAACAAAAAGATTAAAATGAATAAGAGATACATCCCTTGTAAAATCTGCCCCCAAATTTGAATTCCCTTTTGTATTCTTTTTCCACTGTAATTCACAAATGGAAATCAAGTTCGGAGATGGAGAATGTTTTCATTCATTCTAATCTTTAGCATCTATTAACTCACCTAAATGTTTATAGTGGTGATTGTGAGCTTGTAATAAAACTTTTACTCGATCCAAAGGAGCAACTGTTGTTTTAGCACAGCATCCTGCAATACCTAAAAAATTTTAAGAGGTCAGGGAGATGTTGCATAACATTTCTTTCCAGATGGAAATCATTTGTTCAGCCAACACACACCTTCTAATCTTTTATTTGGTCACCATGAGTAAAACTGCCCAGTAAAAGTGATGTGCAGATCATTGGCCCTCATTCTGTGTAACTTACTAATTGGCATGTCATACTTAAAAATAAGTTTAAAGAGTGTAAATCTGTCCCCCAATACCTGATGAACACTGGGAATCTGCTTGCTAAATGTGGTTATGGAGACACTTGAAGTTATTTACTCAACTGTAAGGCTGTTTGAAGAAACCTCCTCTTCTTCTGTATAGATTTTACCCATAAAATTCAATCATTCTTTCATACATTCAGCAATTATGTATTTGGTCCCTACCACATGCCACCATACAGACATGTACATGACTGTAAAATGCAAAACTGCCTACATACAAGGCCAGCCCTACCAGCTTGGCATGCTTCTAAGGCGATAATATATAAAAGCCTTTTTTGCTATGTTGTTTGTGCCCCCCCCCCCAAAAATTTCATGTTGAAAACTAATTCCCAATTTGATAGCATTTAGAAGTAGGGCTTTTAGGGGGTGATTATGTCCTGAGGGCTCTGCATCTTTATTTATATAAAATGCAATATGATTCAACTATTCAACTAACCATGGGATTAGTGCCCTTACAAACAAGGCCCCAAACACCACTGACCCTTTCCACCTCGTGGAAACACAACAAGAAGGTGATGTCTATGAGGAAGAAGGTCCTCATTGGACATTGAACCTGATGACAGCATGATCTTAGACTTTCCAACTTCTAGACTATGAAAAATAAATGTTTGTTGTTTATAAGCCATCAGATTACGGCATTTTTGTTATAGTAGCCCACTAAGACTCTTTTCTAAAGAACCGTATGTGTATAAATACTCCTTGATTTTCTATGGGGTTATACATTCACCCCATGATAAACCCATTGTGAACTGAAAATGTTGTAAGTAGAAAATGCATTTAAAATAAGGGTGAATTTTACTGTATATAAATTATACCTTAATAAACCTGATTTTAAAACAAAGAAAACTATGTAAAAACAAAACAAACAAAAACTATGCAAGCTTCTTAAAAAAACAAAGCTTAATCAAGGTTCCTTCTCAGAGTTTCTGATACCTGCTGTCTGCAACTCTTCTCCTCCCTTTTCCTAGAAGTCCTTTCTTTACTCTCATAATCATTATTTGCCCCTCCTTCTCAGAGATAACCAATTGGCCTTCTGACTTCTAACAGCACTGACTTAGTTTTGATTGTTTTTGAACTTTATACAAATAAAATCACACAGCATGACTTGCTTTGTGCCTGGCTTCTGTTCAATGCTTATGAAATTCATCAACATTGTTATATATGGCAGGAATTTATTCACTTTCAATGCTGCATATTTCATTGTATGATTACACCATATTTTGGTAATATGTTATAACACTGATGGGCACATAGATTGCTTCTGGTTTTGGGCTATTGAATATTACATGAATATTGCAGACATGAACAGAAATATGTATGTTGGGATATACCTAGGAGTGTAACTGCTGAATCATGTGGCATACAAATGTTCAGCTTCACAGATAACTGCTCAACTAGTTCTCCAAAGTGGTTGTACCAATTTACATTACTACCATTAGCACATAAGAGTCCTGGCTGCTATCCTCACCAACATGTACCATGACTCTATTTCAATATCTAATCAACATCACAAAATGCAACATGTCCAAAACTGAACTCCTCATCTCCCCTCCACCTACAACCCTCTTGAAAACTGCTCCAACCATAGCCTTCCCATTTCAGCCAGTGAGTGCTTCAACCTTTCAACTGCTCAGACCATAACGAGTCATTCTTGATTCATTCTTACCACATCTCTAACCTATTAGAAAGTGCTATTCATTCTACTTATCACAATTTTTCACTGCCTCTCCTGGTACTTACATGATCGAAGCCACTATTTATCATCTGAATTTCTGCAATAACCTCCAAACTAGTCTCCTTGCTCCCACATATACTTCCCTAGAGTTTCTCTCAACAGAGAAGCCAAAGTGATCCATTTGAAATAGGTCGTATCATGTCACTTTTCTGCTCAAGATCTACAATGACTCCCAATCTCATTCCAAGTAAAAGTCACAGTCTTCACAATAGGATGCAAAGCCCTTCAGTTTTTGCCCCCCTTTATGTCTCTAACCTCCTTCTCCCATCAATACCACTTAGCTCCAGCCACTGCTGATCTTTTAACAGAGGAGGCCCTCTCTTACTTTGAAGCCTTTGCTTTAGCGTTTCTCTCCTTCTGAAATGCTGCTTCTTAGCAATCAACTTGCTAACCTGCCTCACTTCTTCAAGTCAGCTCAAGTGTCATTCCCCTTAATGAGACTCATCATGACTATCTTATTTAATGCGCACTCACTTAGCCTCTCCATTTCCTTGCCCCATTCTTCTTTTTACTTCTTCCCATTAGATGAATCACCTTGTAACAAACTATGTAAGTTACTTTTTCATTGTGTTTATTGTCTTTCTCCACAACCAGTGTAAACTCCAAGATATTGTCTTGTTCCCTGATGTACACTGAACATATAAGAGGCACAGAGCAGACACTCAAATGTTCCTGTATAAATGAATGTCCTTTCTGTCAGCAAAATAAACTCTTAACACTACTGCAGCATCCAACTATTATCTTTCTCTAAGTCCTATAAAGTGGAATTTTTTAAATTCCTAGTCTTAACAAATAAGTGATGACAACCCCAAACAATCAGAAGAAATGGAAGGGACTGAAACACCTCTTTATGGGAAGGCAGAGGAAATTCCTGATAGACAATGTGAACCTTCTGGTCCTATAGTCACACCAAAGTAGGGCTGCACCAGCTACCTGTCAAGTGATTGTGACAGAGTTTACTAGAATCGTTGGAATCAGTTTTGGTTATAGACAGTTTTGCACAAATTTTCCAATCACATTTTAAAACCTATTTGTTTTCTCTTAAGCAAACAGCAAAATCCAATTCTACATTCGGTTACCTATGGTCTTTATAAAAGAAAGGAGCGCCCAGCATGTTTCACTGAAACCCCTGGGATCTTTGTAAAAGACTCCCTACTTTCCCTGCATCCAGCCCTGAAGAATGGGTGCCTGGTTCAGCCCATCACCTTCCTAGCCGCTCCAAGACAGCTCCAGGCCCCTCCGCCCCAGGATCCCGCTGTCACTGGTCAAGCGATTATTAGGAAAAGGTTACGGTAGGTCAGGACAAACACCTGGCAGGGCACTAAATAGCCACTGTCCAAGAATGTCCTCGCGGCCGCGTGCACCCGACCTGCCCCTGCCACCGGGAGCGTAGCCGGGTCCCTCCGGCGGACACCCACCTCCTGCCAGGAAGGAGCGCAGCCAGTAGAAGTCTCGGCGGGCTGTGGGCCCTCCGGCTCCTGCCGCTTGCGGCATCGCAGGAGGGGCGCCGGCCGCTGCAAGGGCCGCCGCCGCCGCCGCCGCCATCAGGACCAGGGCCGCGTCGGGAGCTTTAGTCTTCAACTTGCAAAAGGGCTGGGGACCATGGCCATTGCTGGCTGGAGCTTACGAGGCACCGACCGCCGCGCGGGCGGAGCGGAATTACAGCCGGCGGCGCGGCGCGGGCTAATTGCGTAAGCGAGGGGTGGGGCCTGGGGCTCGCAGCCACCCGGACCCAACCTGGCCCACGTCACTGCTGCCGGCTTCGCTTTACAGGCCCGTTCTGGTCAGACCCAAGAGAAGAAGCGTAGACAGCGGGGTGCAAAACCCCCCAACTCAGAAAGCTGCCCCTCTTCCATTGACCTGTATTGACCATTGATATATAACCACCCAACGGGCTGGGCTGTCTTCTGACTTTCCTATCAGAACCAACCTTTGGTTCTTGACTCTTTCCATGAGCCTCTGAAATTGCATCTCCCACCAAATTCAAATCAGCTCTGTCTTCTCAGAGCTTCTCACTACATCTCAATTTACCTAAATTTATTTCAATTTCTGCCCTGTCTAATCCTCTACCAATCCGCCTCTACCACCTTTTCCAAATGCAGATTATTCTTTCTTTGGAGCCGTACAACAGCATGGTGAAGTTTTTCTGAATATGTGCCTTCTGTGCCTTATACTTAGCTCTCAGATTCCACGGAGCTCTACTCCCCACCAATTCCAGCCTCTTCCCCACCAATCCCATTCTCTTCCCTAAACTCTTAGGAACTGACCCACTGTATTCCAAGACGTGATTTCTATGTACGTATGTACGCATGCATGCATGCATGCAGAGGGGAAGGGAAGGAGAAAGAGAGGAAGAGAAACATGAATGTGTGATTGCCTCTCGCTTGCCCCCTACTGGGGACCTGGCCTGCAGTCCAGGAATATGCCCTGACTGGGAATCGAACCAGGGACCGCAGCAGCCAGGACCCAAGACTGGGTTTCTTAACCACCCCTTTGGGCACAATTCTCTTGTGAGCTCCTCATCAGTTACAGCCTGATCAAAATTTATTCCTAGTCTTTGTGACAAACGTTATTCTGAACTTTTATAGTCTCAGAAATTCTCTCTTATTATTTTCCACAATACTCACTGCAATGTTCCTAATTACGGGACACTAGTCTCCTCTTTCTCTTTCTATGTCTATGCCTCTGCAAGTTGTTTCTAGGCACATTTCCTAACTAATAATGAGTCCAGACCTCGAGTTTATTTCCCCTCATGTTCCAAATTTTCAATTTCTACCAGAAAATACAGACCCATATAATGATATCATTATATTTTACATTTCTAATGTTTGCGGGGGAGTGGAGGGACCAAAAAGAAAAAGAAAAAGAACTTATGGACACGGACAACAGAATAGTGATTGCGTGGGGGGGGGGGCGTATTGGGGGGATAAATGGTAATGGGAAAAAATACAGTAAAAAAAGAACTATTAAAAAAATAAAATGTAAGGCAAAACATTTTATTAAAGCTTCCAAAAGTGGAAATGGTTGTACAATATTGTGAATGTAATTAAGGCTATTGAACTGTACACTTAAAAATGGTTAAAATGGTAAATTGTACATGACGTATATTTTATCATAATAAAAAATACAGAGAAAAGGCTCCCTCAGGTTTTTATCTTACAACAAAAGAGAAGTGCCTATATTTTCATATTACATAACTAGCCAAACTGTCCCAGTTCCTAGTGCTAATGCGTACTTTTCCCAACCTATGAGCTGTACTGGTACATCCCTCCTCATCCATTTCCATCCCAATGAGATGCACCTTACAAGTTAAATTTATCACTTAGTGGCCCAAACTCCAAAACCCATTACAGATCTAGAATGAAAAATTGATATATAGATAATAAGTGAGAGGTCTAGTGATTTAAACATCCAAGTATTTCTTCTCCATCAACTCAGCTGGTTACTACTAAACTCAATCTACAGATGTCTATAGTGTCCCAGGGCTCAGTCCATGGGTCTCTTCTATAGTTAAATTCTGAGATCTTAGCCAACTTCATAGTCTTATATTTTTTTAAGGTTTTATTTATTTTTAGAAAGGGGGAAGAGAGAGAGAAAGAGAAACATCATGGCATGGTTGACTCTCATGTGCCCCCTACTGGGGACCTGGCCTGCAACCCAGCCATATGCCCTGACTGGGAATCAAACCAGCGACCTTGTGGTTTGCAGGCCGGCACTGAATCCACTGAGTCACACCAGCCATAGCTCATAGTTTTAAATACCATCCAAATGTTGATGACTCCCAAGCTCCAGCCCTCCCTACCTACTCTCCATCTCTATTGATTCATATTTTCAATATCTGTATATCTAATTGGCATCTGTCATATCCAAAACTAAACTCCTTACATTCCCCTGCAAACCTGGTAGTCCTGAAGCCTGCCTTCATTTCAGTAAATATCAACTCCACTCTCAGTCCATAAACCTTGATTAGTTTCCTAAACAGTCTCCCTGCTTTCTCTTTTCCCCCATCTGTCTATTCTCAATATGGCAGCCAAAGCAATACTTTAAAACCTAAACCAAATCTTGTTACTTCTTATCCCAAAAGCTTTTAATAGCTTTGCATATTAATTACAGAAATTCTTACAATGGTCTACTGGTTTCCTGTGATATCTCTGTCCTCCGCCCCTAGGGTTCCCTTTGGTCACACTGGCTTCTTTGTCCCTCATACATACCAGGCCTGCTCCCCTCAGGGCCTTTGCATATGCTGGTTTTTCTGCCTGTATGATTTTCCCCCTATGTATTTCATGGAACTTCCTCCTTCCCTCCCTATCTTCAAGTATTTACACAAATATCACTTTTTCAGGGTGACCTTTCCTGGATCTAATATTTAAAATCATCACCCACTCCAACCTCATCCTGACCATAACTCAACATCTCTTTTCTCTGCACTAATTTCATTTTTTCCCACAGCACTTATCAGCATTATATATAATTTAGATATGTATTATATAAAAATATATTTATATATAAAAGTTATATATGATTTATATTACGTAGCAAATGTTTTTATTATGTTTCCCTAACTAGAATGTAAGTTCCATGTGGGTACTTGGAGATTATCTGTTTTGTTCATTGGATATGTCATTTGACACTAGCTAATAAGTGATGGTAGATCTACTTATGACAATCCTTTCTATCTCAGCCTTTATCTTTAGGATATCTAGCAACTACTAGACAAGAGACTTAAAAAGTGGAGAAAAACCAATCCCTTCTCTCAAAGAATGTACTATTTCATGGGATGAATATGACCCTAATAATAAAATTAATATATTACACAAATAAAAAGTGGTGACAACACACAACAGACTATATTTGCCAGCAGTCATCAGCAAAAGAGGTAACTATCCTTTGACGTGGCTAAGCATGGACCAAGGCAAACACACACACACAAGGAAATTCAACATATTCAAAATCAAAGAATAGTCAGGTTTGCCTATCTTAAGCTGCTGGAGCACCCCTTTTTAACTCCCCAACACTTGTATGGCAGACCACGACCAATAACATTAGAGAAGGAGGGCAAGGTTATATTATGAATACCTTTAAACTTGATCTAAAAGAGTTTATACTTAATTCAATGGATAATAAGGAGCTGGTGACAGCTGTGTTTTAGAAAAATTAATCTGGGAGAGATGAATAGGACAATTGGGAAATCAGACACTGACAGATCTGACAACAAGAAAGCCAGTCATGAAGTTTTAACAACAATCCACACAAGAGGGCTGGTGAGAACAGGAAAACATAGTCATCAGAAAGGAAATGGATGGAGATAGCCCCCGGTGGACTCACTAAGGAATTAGATGTGGAGGGGAAGGCAGAGGAAAATCCAAAGTCGCTGTAAAGTTTTTTGACATGGTGGTTAAGAGACTTGATTATAGTGTTAATGGAATAGGAAAGATGGAAAGAACAGGTTTACGGCACAGAAAGGGTTTAGGGATGTTGACACAAACTGTAAAGATGATGAAAACATACAAAAGCACAAAGAAAAAAGGTTTGGCAAAGGTGTTTTGTTTTTTTTTTTTTTAATATAGAGACTATGTGAATACTGTGTAGACCATATTTAATAATATCTACCTAAAAAGCCTTCATTGAAAGCTTCCCCGAACCCCACACATACCCTGACATTTCATTAAACAGAGAGGAATCAGTGTGCGATTTTAACATACATATCATGGACCTCTGATATCTTGAAGTCTTCCATTATTAGGGGGACCTCTTTTAGACCACAGATTATTAAATTCATTTACTTACATTTATAAGGAATAAGCATCATATATCACAAATGCTTTATTATTGAAATAAAATGTTTTGCTATTTATTTTTACAATTTATAATTCTAAAGGCTTAACTTCTTTGTTGGTATGACAGCTTTATTACTTCAAATCAAGACATTACATATTATAGTCCATTATGATGATGCAACATTTCACTGTTCTTTGCAGCTGGAACTCAGTAATTTGTTTCACCCAACATTTCCTATGACGTTCTTTGGACTCCAGTCCCTCCAGCTTGGCCATGATATGTTCTGTTTGAAACTTGCTATAAAATGATTTCGCAGTCCTCCCATCTCTTCAACACATTAATCAAAAGGATGGTCTCATGTTCAGCATATTATTGTTGTTGTTCTTCTTGCTGCTGGGTCAGACAAGCTGGGCATAGAGAGAGCTCTCTGACAACCTAGTTGCCCTACATGCCTCATGATAAAACCTTTCTTTAGAACTCAGACCACTAAGTTGATCACAGAACCATTCTACCTCACACGCTTGTCTTCTGGCTCACAATCCTCTGAATCATCAGGAAGCACAATGTTCAAGGTAGCATTCTTGTCCAAATATATCTCTTATGATTTAAGAATATACTCCAGGCCTGGTTTAGTTTCCTACTCCTGGGCTTTTCCCTCAATACCCTTGTTGTACAGTCTGGTCACGACCCTTCATTTACCAAGGGCATTTGCTCAGGGGACCTCTCCAGCTCTGCATCCTGCCACCAGCGCACATCACACCGGATGGCTTCATTGACTTTGTTAAACTGGGCCCATCAGACAGCAGACGGAAAGGCCC